CCTGGGCAACTTAACAAGACCCTGTACAAAAATAAGAAAAGAAAAAAACAAACAAACAAACAGGAGATGTAGCTCAGTAGGAAAACATCCTAGGGTTCAATGCCCAGTACCTCCAAAAAAAAAAAAATACTAGAAAATTTAGTTGAATTAAATATCTATTTTTCAAGCACTGGTCAATGTTACTTACGTGCACCTCAATTTCCACATGTGAAAAAAAACCTGATAAAGTCAGAATAATAAGAGTTTAATTTAGAAAGAATACAGAACATGGGTTAGAATGATTCCTTTTTACCAAATGAAGAGCTAGTCTCACCTCTCAAACTACTACTGAAAAGCACTGACCCACACAGAATGACTTAATTCTACAGAAATGAGAAGAAACAATACTAGCAAAGAAAAAGTAGACCTTCTTTATTCCAAGCGGCAGGTGAAGAATCACACTCGTTGCTTGTCCCAGCATCAGAATCCTCTAAACACTGATTTATTTTCTTTGTTAGGACAGATTTTTTCTGAAGGAGCTCTTGTTGCCTTTCCATGAGTTCTTGAATTTGAATGTCTACTGCATGTAGCTCACTGGTTACAGAATCCAATTCCTCGGTTAGTGCTATGAGGTAGGGAGAAGAAACAATGACCAGTTAATTATAATTTCCCTTTCCTATTGGCTTCTGGATGTTCCTCATCATCTATATTATGGACAAACTTAAACCAGTATAGCAGAGCAGTCAAGATGACATGTTTCAAAGTCAGAGAGACCTGGGTTCAAAGTCAGGTCTTCATCTTACCCGAGTAATCTTGGACAAGATACTTACGTGCACCTCAATTTCCTCTTCTATAAAATGTGGGCCATACCTAACTTTCACAGTATTGTTAAAAAGAATTAAGAGAAATTTGAAATATTGAAATTTCTTAACACAGTACCTAAATATTGTTAAATATTTAACAATTGATAGTTACTGTCGTTATTATTACTGTACAGAGAAGGTAGTCCAAAAATCTCCTAAATCATCTAAAGAAAGTGACTAGCTGGGCACAGTGGTACAGTGATGCACATCTATAATCCCAGCTACTCAGGAGGCTGAGGATTAAAAGTTTGAGGCTAGGATAAGCAACTTCATAAGCCCCT